TGTGTGTGTGTGTGTGTGTCTGTGTGTGTCTGTGTGTGTCTGTGTCTGTGTCTGTGTGTGTGTGTGTGTCTGTGTGTGTGTCTGTGTGTGTGTCTGTGTGTGTGTCTGTGTGTGTCTATGTGTGTCTATGTGTGTCTATGTGTGTGTCTATGTGTGTGTCTATGTGTGTCTATGTGTGTCTATGTGTGTGTCTGTGTGTGTGTCTATGTGTGTCTGTGTGTGTGTCTGTGTGTGTGTCTGTGTGTGTGTCTATGTGTGTCTATGTGTGTGTGTCTGTCTATGTGTGTCTATGTGTGTGTGTCTGTGTGTGTGTCTATGTGTGTCTGTGTGTGTGTCTGTGTGTGTGTCTGTGTGTGTGTCTGTGTGTGTGTCTGTGTGTGTGTCTGTGTGTGTATCTGTTTGTGTGTCTATGTGTGTCTATGTGTGTCTATGTGTGTCTATGTGTGTCTATGTGTGTCTCTGTGTCTGTGTCTCTGCGGGCTTGCAGGTTGTTGCCCACGAGATTAGTCACAGTTGGACGGGAAACCTTGTCACGAACCGTACTTGGGAACATTTCTGGTATGTTTGCCGCGGCCATTGACGCAAGGAAATGGTGAAGGCTTTGATTTAGGTGATTCGGTTGGTGTGCATATGTAGCGTGGCCCAAGTGGTTGGGCATACAACAACAACCCAGCAAGTCTCACCAGAGCAAGGAGAAGTTCCTTGTACCATTGAAGAATGAAGAATGATTCTTTCTTGTTAGGTATATGTTCTTCTACGAGGGTGCCTGCGTGCTGGCATGGCATAGGTGCTATTTGAATGCATGGCCGGCCAGGCGAAGAATATCCCATGGTTGTACAACTAAAGCTGTGACTGCCAATGTTGTGCTTGCTGTTGCTGCTGTGTGCCAGGCTGAACGAAGGCTTCACACGCTATCTGGAGAATCGCATTGTCGGTAGTCTGTACGGAGAGCCACGGCGTCACTTTGCCTTTATCGGTGAGAACTCTGCTGAACACTGCACCCTGAATACGTAGCCTACTAGGGAAAGTCCCTACTAGGGCAAGTCCCTACCCCAAGAGTGTGCCACTGCCTATACACTCATACCTCTCTTATCCAGACCTCCAAGTTACGGGCGCCTCGGTCTACCGGGCACCCTGTGGGTGAGTTTTACTGGGTCGTACAATTTTGTACTTTATGGTTTATGGTTTATGGTCCAAGGTTACCAATAATATTTTCAAAACGAAAAGGTTTCGTTTGGGGGTGGGTGGGTTTGATGGAGTTTCGTTTTGAAAATAATTATTGAATGCAGATGGAGAATGCCCAGTTACTTCTGGGTGTCGAAAACGAACATCAATATTTTATTGGAATTCGTTTTACCTGCAGAAAAGGTGGGTGTGTGGGTGGGGGATGAAAAGTACTAAAACTTTTCGTTTTGTAAAAACAATCGGTAACCCCGGATGGCCCCTTAGGTACTTTATATATATATGGAAGGCCAAATGTTCTAAAGCAGGATTTTCAACCGTAGTACCTTGCACACACGGTCTTGGTTGCACCGCCATCAGGCTTGTAGAGTGCCTTGAACTTCTCCGTGAACGTTTTCGAATCACTGCCGGAGCGTTTGAAAGACGTGACTCGAAGATCGGATTACTGGAACCGAAGAGTAGTGTAACTCGGGCTGTGTCCAAACTGGTCTACACAACCACAACGACAAATCATGGCCTTTTGGTCGGACCAGGGTGGACATCCCGGCTACAGTACATTCATTGGAAACTGGCACCCTAACGTTTTGGTGTCTCCCACACATAGTTGTAGATATCGTGAAAACAACGGTACCTCCTGCATTGTGTGACCCGTGCAATTACTCCTTGCCATATTCGAGGCCAGAAAAATCCAAGAACAGGGAAATAGATATTCAGCCAGGTTTTTACAAATTAGAACAGCTATGCCATGGGGAAAATGTATGGAGAAGCAGATCCCAAACCCAGATTTTTGAGATTTAAAGTGGGTTTTTGATCCTCAACTCGGCCCGAATCGGACTTTCCGATGAATGTGTAGGCCGGTCACTACTGACCTGGTGCACAGCACAGCTCTGTGAAAACTGTGCATGCCAATTGGGTTCATGCTATCTGTCTGCCGGTGTCTCTTTGTGTGTTTCTGCTTCTTGTTGATGTGATGCTGCTGGTGACTTTGCTCCCGCAGAGGGATGGAAGGCGTTGCAGAACTCTGTGAGTAGTCCCCGGCATCCATTGCACACTCCTTATCCCCATTGTGTCCAGTATAGGCTGTGTTTCCTGCTTAACGCTGTGATCGGCAAGAGCCAGACTTCTCGCGTGGGCACATCTGTCCCTGCGTGCACATGGTGTGTGTATGTGTATGTGTGTGCACGTGTGTGACAATGTGTGTGTGTGTGTGTGTGTGTGTGTGTGTGTGTGTGTGTGTGTGTGTGTGTGTACACGTCTTTCTTCCCTTTCTCGGACTCTTCCTGACTTTTCTTTCATTCTCCTGGGTGGTTACCAACAGCCAGTGTATGCCGGAGTATGTGGTGTGGTGTGTGTGCGTAAAAAAAATGGAAAAATGAAAAATAGGGATTCACTGGCCAGAAAAAGTCACTTCTAACAGCTGTGTGGTGGATACCAGGCTAAAAATAGTGGCGGTCAATTCATCAGCCTTGCAAGCTGTTGAATGGTGTAATCCCAGCACAAGTTGCTATGTCTAACATAGCTGTTCGCTATCATCGCTTCCGCGATGGGCATGTCTGAGGTCTGAGGTGTGTGTGTGTGTGTGTGTGTGTGTGTGTGTGTGTGTGTGTGTGTGTGTGTGTGTGTGTGTGTGTGTGTGTGTGTGTGTGTGTGTGTGTGAACGTGAACGTGTGTGGGTGCGTGTGGGTGCTTCTGTATCTATGGTGGTGGCATGTGCACGTGAGCACCTACCTGCACTTGCATGCATGCGTGTAATTTGTCCGCATTTGCGCGTCGTCTCTTCTCTCTTGTTTTAAAGATTGATCACTTTGGTGCAAGCAGTCCGCTCACCGCACTCATTCCACCGCTGGACGGCATCGACCCCGACGATGCTTTCTCCAGTGTGCCCTACGAGAAAGGCTCCTCCTTCCTTTTCTACTTGGAGACATTGGTTGGTGGCCGAGGTATGTGCTGCCACGTTGTTGTTGTTGTTGTTGTTGTATACTTTATTTATAGTGGAAAACAAAACAGGCATACGCCTAATAACAATGGATCCAGTTGCCATGGTAATGGGAGTTTTGAGCACTTGGTTTGCTTCTGTTGTTCCATGCCATGCGCTGCATTTGTGGACGGTGAAATCGTACTCAAAATCCATACGTAGCATCCTCAACTTGCACGGCCCTTGACGCCCTGGAAGTGGTTTCTCATGCGGCTGGATGTACACATGTACTCGAAGTACCAGTGTTGTGTATGGTATATATAGAAGCCTTGCTTGATAGTTTAACCATTTACCAGCCGCAGGATTTATATGTAAAAAACGGGGTCCACTAGATTGATAATAGAGACTAACCGGTAAATAATTTGTATTGACACCTTTATAGTTCTGGAAAGCTGGTAGAATTACCTTTCATATGAGACTAAAACCAAGCTGATAACATGTAGAAACGTTGCCATTCATGGCGAACAATAACTCGAGCAATGCGGCCGAATTAGCAAATTCGAGAACCATGACAATATGTGCACTGTTCAGCTTCAGCTCATGCACCAGTTCATCTGTCAAGATTCAAACACCAGCAGAACCAGGCTGCTCTAGCGCTCATTTTTGGTGCATGTCACGCATGGGCTGTGCACTGGCAAACACATACTTCAGCATGAAGTGCGTCACAGCCACACGCTTGAAATTTCAATTCCACCCGTTTGCTGGACTTGGAGCTTCGGCGCTTGAGTATTTTACTTCGCGCTATATCGAATGATACATCGTTGGAAAGCTGCGTTCAATAGCTTTCCAATGAGCCTTCATATGTTGAATTTGAAGTAGGCAGACCGAGGTTATAGCTGTTTGTACAGTGCTCTATGCTCGTTTAGCATGAAATGTGCCACAGTCACACGCTTCAAATTTCAACTTCAACCTGTTTCCTGGACTTCGAGCTTCGGCGCTTGAGTATTTTACTTCGCGCTATATCTAATGAAACATCGTTGGAAAGCTGCGTTCAATAGCTTTCCAATGAGCCGTCATACTTTGAATTCGAAGTAGGCAGACCGACGTTATAGTTGTTTGTACAGTGCTCTATGCTCGTTTAGAATGAAGTGCGTCACAGTCACACGCTTGAAATTTCAACTTCACCCGTTTCCTGGATTTGGAGCTTCGGCGCTTGAGTATTTTACTTCGCGCTATATCAAATGAAACATCGTTGGAAAGCTGCGTTCAATAGCTTTCCAATGAGCCTTCAAATGTTGAATTTGAAGTAGGCAGACCGAAGTTATAGCTGTTTGTACACTACTCTATGCTCGTTTAGCATGAAATGTGCCAGAGTCACACGCTTGAAATTTCAACTTCACCTGTTTCCTGGACTTCGAGCTTCGGCGCTTGAGTATTTTCCTTCGCGCTATATCGAATGAAACATCGTTGGAAGGCTGCGTTCAATAGCTTTCCAATGAGCCGTCATTTGTTGAATTTGAAGTAGCCAGACCGAAGTTATAGCTGTTTGTACAGTGCTCAGCATGAAGTGCGTCACGCTTGAAATTTCAACTTCACCCAGGTGCATTCAACCGCGATTTTCTCGAAAAAAATGATGTGCAGCACACGGTTTTCTCGATGGTAGGTGATTCAGTAGGTTTTCAGCAGTAGTTTGCGATTATTCCGACCGCGGTGCGGCAAAAGGCCATGGTTTACAGAGCGAAAAACGAATGCGTCGAATTCGACGCATTCGCACTATGTACGGCTGGTAAAGGGTTAACATGTTTTCGATTTCGACAGCATGTTACAAGACGAGGACGCGTAGTGCTCCTGACTACAGCCATAACTGGGTTGGCAGAGTCCCGTCCCGGTCTTGCGACCATCTGAACTGTATGGGGGAAAAAACCCGGTTCGGACCCTGTTTATTCTAGGGATACGGTTCAAATGATGGCAAGACCGGGACACAGCCAACCGGATTATGGTTGTAGTCAGGAGCACTACGCGTCCTCGCCTTGTAACATGCTGTCAAAATCGAAAAATAGTACAGTGATGTAATGGGAACTGGTCCAGGGCACCAGTTTTGCACTTTGGGTCGGATTTAAGTGAGCGCAATTGTAGCTCTGCGACACAGGGAACCTACTAGCACATGCATGTACCGTAAAGTACCGTTGATCCGCCCCCCACGCCATGTCGCTTCCCAGCTGGGTTTTCGGCAGGGGGCGGGAATTCGATCAAGGCTGTCAAGTGCAGTACGATGTACAACAACGTAGAAGTTCAGACTCGATGTGCTGGATTGTGCACATTTTCATCCTGGATTGGCAAGTATTGTGTGCAGCAGTGCATGCGTCGGTTCAACATCGTATTTTCGTTGTATACGCCGAAGTCGCTTCACAGGTAGAAAATCGACAGGGGGCGGATCAACGGTACTTTACGGTAAAGAAAAATGTGTGTCAGGCTTTTAAAGTCTATGGTTGTGCGTGTTTTGGGATCCAGATTTCTATGGTGAGATAGCGCAGCCGAAATAGCTCAGTTGGGAGAGCGTTAGACTGAAGATCTAAAGGTCCCTGGTTCAATCCCGGGTTTCGGCACTTATTTTTTTCCTTATTTCCCGCTTTCGGCGAGACCCCATCCCAACTCCCCTGAATGCAGCTCAGTGGACGTCTGTCCCAACTCATTATCAACATCACATCGTTTTCAAGTTGTTTTTTTTCTCGCGACGACCTGTGGCCATTAAGAGATCCAATAAGCCCATTGCGCAACGACGTAATTTCAATTTTGTACCATGAACAGCCACCTGGGCATGTTCGTCCGGGCCTCTGGGGTGTTGAACAGTGCATTGCTGATCCCAGCGTACTCACAAGCACTACTCATACCTTCCATATTTGGCAATGCGCAATGGGCTTATAGACATGATGCTTTTTTTTTGTGTTTGTTTTTCTAAATTATGGACTTGTTGTCATGATGGTGAATCTAGATGTATTTGAGCCGTTCCTACGTGCGTATGTTGAGAAGTTCCAAGGCATCACGCTGACGTCTGGTGATTTCCAGGACTTCTTCCTCTCTTTCTTCGCCGACAAGGTAGGTTTGGACTTTTCGGATCTGTTTTTTTTTGTTTTTATAAAGGGGTCGTCCGTAATCTTCGAAAAATTAAAAAATCCGTCCTCAAGCAAAAAGAGGGTGGGTGGTCAAGAGTGCTGGGGGAATTTAATTTTTTGATTTTTCGTACCTGTTTTTCTGGTTTGAGGGAAAGACACAAACGGGAAAAGTCTGAAGAATTTATTTTTGATTTTTTACTTCAGTGACTTTCATACACTTGTTACAGTGAGTGCGTTCGATTATGCCCGCGAATCGATTCATGAATCGATTCGCACTATTCACATCACCCCGTGTGAATAGGGTGAATGGATTCCGAGTCGATTCCAGGGCTCATGACATGAAAATCGAACGACTTGAATGCCCTTGAATCGATTCATGAATCGATTCAAGTGCATAATCGAACGCAGCCATTGAGTGTACTGTGTGTAATGTACAGTAATGTAGGGTCGATTGTGGCAAACACCAGTATGATGTACAATGTAGTTATAGGACGTGCATGGCCATCGGTAAACTTACTACATGTACATGTACCGTACTGGCAATATATGTTGCCGCGTAACGCAGGGGGGTGCGGCGTAACGCGCGACCAGGCTAGTGCGACAAATTTTCGTTGAGTTCGTAACGCGCGTCCGGCGGGGTGCGGCGATCTTTTCATTGCAGTTTGCACTCCAAAAAAGGCTGAAAACTGTGAAAGCACGTGTACCGCGTGGTGAAAAGTCTCCAGCAGCAGTGATGGCTCGAGCAGCGATGACGACTCCAGCAGCAGTGATGACTAATGATAGCCACGGTGACTTTGTAATAATTATGTTGTACACTCATTAACTGTGTGAGTGACAGTAGGTTTTGGAGGAAGCGCTCTTCCCCTATGTCACTTTCCTTTTGATGATCTTTTTGTGAACAGATCACTCTGATAGTTAAAATAATACAGTCTTCTATTGATATCGTTGTCGCCCTTTGCCGTCGGGTTTGTAACAGTTGGATAGCAACTGAATTTCTGTGCCTTCAATGTGGATGAAAAGAAAAAATGATGCGGCAAAAGCAAAAAATGATGCGGCAATAGCAAAAAAGTGATGCGGCAATAGCAAAAAAAGGACTGCGGCAATATAGAAACCTGTGTAACGGCTCCTGTGCGACTTTGCATGTAACGCCCTGCGTGCGGCAAACATGTGCCAATGTAACGCTTCATGGCCTCACTGCGGCAACATATATTGCCAGTACGGTACTTAGCTATTACTGTAAAAGTAGAAATTTTCGGTGTTGTTTTATTTTCGGTAACTTGGTGCCAACAATTTTTACCGAAAAAATAAACGCACCGAAATTTTCGGTACAACCGACACTGTGTACATGTAGTACTAGCACACTTACCTGGAGAACGGGTTTTACCGAAAATTTCCCTCCACCGAACCACCGATTTTGGAGAATACCGAAAATATTACACCACCGGATATTTCTGCTTTTACAGTATAGTGCTGGCAGCTGAAATCCGACCCCCTAAGCGGTGCGCTCACATCGCAACGAACCAGCACAGTAATCTATGCAAATAGAGACCGCTAGAATCCGTGCTGCACTCGCGCATGAAAATCAGCACTCGGATTTCCAGTTGCCGCCGGTATAGTACTTGACACACAGGTGCAGTCAGTGAACACGGGATGAGGAGTTCTTATCAGAGAGGTTTCGCACGGCGTGCAACTTGACAAGGCCGAACGCGAGGCTGTTCACGTGCGTGACGCGCATGAAAAGAGCTTTCGCAGCAGGTGAACGTGCACACCCACCGGACACCTAACGCGCTGATCGAGTTACTAGAAATTCTTCAGTTTTGAGCGCAAAAAGATGCAAATATTATTGTTATTTATTCATTTTTTTAATAGGGCAGTCCCCACAGACTCAAGGCCTTCTTACGGGGTACCCTAGAATGAAAGTAATGCATGGCGAAATAGGGATGGCGATGCAGCAGTGCGGATATCAGATGGAGCGCTATTCCATCTGTCTGCAGCCAAATAAGCAAGAGAAAACAAACCGTAGCGTGAATAAACTCTGGGTAGAACAAGACCATTGGAAGAGTGAAGGCGGGTCCGACATTGCAAAGTGTTAGCTGCTGAAGAACGAAGTACAAAGAGGTCCCGAAGAAGGGCACTGGTCTGACCTAGGACACTGGTCTGACCTAGGACGCAACGGAAACAATTGTGTATAATTTTAAACTGAAGCGGACTGAAATTGGCATTAAAGAGAAGTGTGCAAGAATTGAGGCTGAATGGGAGGACGAGGGGTAACCAAACACTATCCGTAATGCACGTTTACTGATCTTGATCAGGTTATCATAATTATTCTGTGGTGCGAAGACAGTGTACATATGCATTACTCGCATACTCAAGAGTGGATTGTATGAAAGATAAGTAGAATGTACGTTTAGATCGGGTTGTCAAAAGACGACGTGTTCTGTACATGGTGCTTAGCTTGGCGCCAACTTTCCTCCGGAGGGCTGCAACTTGTAGTTTAGAAGGCAGATGTTCATTGATGATCAAGCCAAGGTATTTTACGCTCAAAGCTGAGGAAATATTAATGCCGTCGAGCATAAGGGGACGGCTAACGGGAGTGGTCGGAGTGCGGATATGCATGTACTGCGTCTTTGCGGTATTGAGTTTGAGACCACGCTCAGAGAGGTAATAGGCAACGTTAGCAATGTCTCTTTCCAAGGTAACTACGGTTTGCTCTGCACATGCATTGGCAGCGTATAGTGTAGTATCATCTGCATACAGCAACGTGGTAGACTGCTTAACATGGCAGGGCAGGGAGCGGGTGTAGATCGTGAATAGTAGTGGTCCCAGGACGGACCCTTGTGGGACGCCACGGGTGCAGTGGTATGGCTCACCTGGGGAAGACTGTGGAGTGACGACTCTCTGAGTTCGGTCACCCAGGTAGCTCTGAAACCAGGAGAGAACTGTGTCTCCAAGGCCACAATCAAGTAGTTCAGAGACTAGCAGTGTGTGATCTACACAGTCAAACGCTTTACTTAGATCAAGGAATGCAGCTGCCATTTCGTTCAAGAAGCACACCTGGCCTTGATCTGAGCCGTTGTCTGTCTTCGTCTTTGCACATACCGGTATCGGTGCGCCTTTGCCGCTTTCCGTATGGACGCTGATTCCAGTTTGAATCAGAGCGGCGCTTAGTGACTACTTTTACCGCTCACGCTCACAACGTCCTCTCTGTAGCTGTGGAGAAGCTCGTATCTGTGCTTCGATTCAGCGCCCTCGTAAAATCTTTCCAGCATTTCGATCCGCAGTTGAAACAGTTGCCTGTTTCGCACCCAACGATGGCTTTCATCAGCAAGTTATCGTCTTTCACAGTGAAAATCACTGTGCCAGTCTCCGGGGGAAGACGCCGAGCTGGTCTGCTGCCCGCGAGGTTCTGACAGAGGAGAGTGCGCCATGGCTACACAACACTAGCACTTGAGATAGAAGTCAACCTCTCAACATCGTTAACTGCTGTGCAGCGGCGCGGGGAAGAGTCTGAAATTTGTTTGACAGCTAGCTTCCACGTGCCACTTCGTCCATTCAATTTCCGCGCCACATTTAGAAGAATTTCGCCGTGCCCGGTTTCTAGCGAAATCAGGTTTACCCCTCAACGCCCTCCTCAACCTTCCCCGGGTAGCCATTAGAACTTTTCGTAAATCGCGCGTGCTGAGCCGTCAAATGCCGACGTGATGAGACCGCGTTCCACGCTTGCAACGCGCGTTGGCCTCGCTTTCGAACGTGGCACGCGACCCTCGAACGCGTCAAGTGAGCGCGTTGCACGCCGTGCGAAAACTCTCTATTTTCGAGCTGGGCATTGGGAAAAATCAAAAATGAATGGGAAAAAATGGGGGTCGGTGGGTGGGTCAGAGACAATTTTGCACGAGGACTGATTTTTTAATTTTCGAAAATTAAGGACGACCCCTTATCTTTTTATGTCTCGTACAGACAAGTCCATGCGCGAATGGCATCGCTGGCGCACACTCAGTTGCACTGCTTTCTGACAAGAAATGCCTCTCACGATACGCTTATGATTGAAAATTCCTACGGAGTACGGCATCTAGAGTGGTACGGAAACCAGAGTGTGCAGCTCCGCATGTGGGCCGCATAAGAAAAAAACGATCCCACGGCGGAGTTCTTGTTTGTTTAGGTCATCATGAATCATTTAAAAGAACCGTCATACCGTAGGTGCAGTACTAAATCACCGTATCACCAAAGTGATACGAGATAATTGTGTTCGTTTTCACCGTTTGTACCGTAAAGTACCGTTGATCCGCCCCCTCTCTAATTCCCGCCCCCTGTCGGTTTTCTACTTGTGAAGCGACTTCGGCGTATACAACGAAATACGATGTTGAACCGACGCATGCACTGCTGTACACAATACGTGCCAGTGCCGGATGAAAATGTGCACAATTCAGCACATCGAGTCTGATCCTCCACGTTGTTCTACATCGTACTGCACTTGACAGCCTTGATCTAATTCCCGCCCCCTGACAAAAACCCAGCTGGGAAGCGACATGGCGTGGGGGGGGGGGGGGGGGGGGGATCAACGGTATTTTACGGTAGTGGCAAGCGGCAATGCGCAAGAGAAACTACCTGGGTGAATCGGTAGAATCTGTGTGCATTGTGGCTTGTTGAGATTTCAAATTTGACCCGGTATTGAAAACTCTCATGTAAAACACAGTCCTATCATACATCCTGTTCATCTGTTGCAATCCCCCATCTTGTAGGCATCTCAAGGTGTGTTTGATGCTGTCGACTGGGAACGCTGGTTCTTCGCGCCAGGAATGCCACCTGTCAAGCCAGAGTAAGTGAACAATGTGTCGTTCAGTTACCGTATTTTCCGGAGTATAAGCCGCGCTCACGTTCATGGTGATACATAGGGTCGAGAGGTTATGCACTCTTGATAGGGTTTGTACAGTGCTGGCTACTGAAATCCGACATGGAATTGTAGCACTATGAAATAGAGGCCGCTAGAAAGGGTGTGTGTGTGTGTTCGTATGTGTGTATGTATGTGTGTGTGTGGGGGGGGGGGGGGGGGGGCTACGTATAGTGCTTTCATGGCTTGTGTGTTTGTTTGTGTGCATGTATACATGCTCTTGTACATACATCACACGGTCCGTTTGTCCTGTTCTCATATTATCTACAGGTATGACACAAGTTTGGTACTGGTTGTTGAACAATTGTTAGAGAAGATCGAAAAGGTGAGTACTTGCATGAAGTTGACATATGATCCAGTCTACCCTTCTAACAACTGTCAGCCTGAATTAGAGCTTGTACACATTGCATTAGCTGTGTGAGTGTGTGTGTGTTTAAGAGAGAGAGAGAGAGAGAGAGAGAGAGAGAGAGAGAGAGAGAGAGAGAGAGAGAGAGAGAGAGAGAGAGAGAGAGAGAGAGAGAGAGAGAGAGAGAGAGAGAGAGAGAGAGAGAGAGAGAGAGAGAGAGAGAATGTGTGTGTGTGTGTGTGTGTGTGTGTGTGTGTGTGTGCGCATGCGTGTGTGTCTGCATGTGTGCATGTCTACGGTGCCTCGCGTCCAGCTTTTTACCAATGTACGGAAGCTCGAAATTACCTCTGCGGCTTAGAGTCCAACTTCTTGCTTGTTTAATGCATGTATGGTGTTATTCGACTATGTTTCATTTACAGTCTACTTCGCTAATACCGACTGCGGATATAACGACAATTCGCGAATAACGACAGAATTTCCATGCAAAGTCCCATTAGGCTGTAACGCGTATAATGGGACTTCGGGTATACGGACACTTCGCGAATAAGGGCACTTTTCTGATGCCCCGCCGAGTGTCGTTATACGCGAACTTGACTGTAACGCATTCTATTATTACGTTAGCTTGAAGCTTCTACGTGTGGTCAGTTCAGACTCAGTCACCGTCACTTCAGAGTGAAGGACAAACTGGGAGATTTTATGTTACAACAGTAAAACCTGTCAAGGCGACCACCGGTCCCAGACGACCACTGCAGCCAGTACCAAGGGATGCTATTTCCAGTCAAATGGCCCTGGATAAGGAGACCACGTGGTAATAGCGACCACCTTGTGGAAGGCCCTTGAGCGGTCTTCTAACACAGGTCTCACAGTACCGTGTTACCCCGAATATAAGTCTTTCACCTTTTTTACACTCGACTTCAGGGCCGACAAATGGCGTGCGACTTACAATGAAGCATGATCACTACTGAAATCAAAGCATTGAAACATTATGACATTGGCCTGAAAATGGAGATGCGACTTAGAGTCTAGTACGACTTACAATCGGGGAAATACGGTACTTCAGTTGTGCTAAGCAACTTTTGAACCACTGGTAACATCATACTTGGACCGGTACTTCATACATTTTGGTGCAGTTGAATGTCAAATTCGGATGGCCAGACACAATCGCAGTCTGCCGTGCGACCTATAATCCGAATGTTAACAAAAGGCGGATTTTGGGCTCGAAAGGGGGAGGGGGGGGGGGGGCAGTGGCTTAGACCCCGGTGCAGCTAACACTACGGACAACACAGCATACACATTAGTCAGTAGCGACCTCGTTGTATGACGTCAGCTCTCTCACTAGTTATACGCATGCGCACGAAACATTCCCTCCTCCCTGTTCTAAATTAAACAACCAGGGTGCTATGTCCCGGGATTTATCTGTCTCACCGTGAACAGATACGACCTGTGCCATCTTGGGTGCCTAAAAGTCAGTGCCTACATCGCTTACCATCCATTGTATGCACTTCGCCCTACACGTGCATATACCGGTAGGTTTCTGTCTCGTTTCTGTATAACTTTGCAGTTGATGTCCAGCAAGGCTGTGCTTACAGAGTCACTCTCGCCGGCGGACATTGGTGACTTCTCCAGCTGCCAGCTGGTGGAATTGCTCGATCGTCTGTTACGACACGTATGTCATGTGCTGCCGTATTGTGTGTGTGTGTGTGTGGAGGGAGTGCGTGTGTGTGTGTGTGTGTGTTTGTGTGTGTCTGTGTGTGTCTGTGTGTTTGTGTGTGTGTGTGTGTGTGTGTGTGTGTGTGTGTGTGTGTGTGTGTGTGTCTGTCTGTCTGTCTGTTTCTGTGTGTGTGTGTGTGTGTGTCTGTGTGTGTGTGTATGTGCGTACGTGTGTGTATGTGTGCTGCCTCTGTTGTTGCTTTCACTGCATTTGCTGCTGTTTTCGCATGTGCTGGTGTTGCTTGCATTGCACTTGCTGTTGCTGATGCCATTGTTATCATCTCTCTCTCTCTCTCTCTCTCTCTCTCTCTCTCTCTCTCTCTCTCTCTCTCTCTCTCTCTCTCTCTCTCTCTCTCTCTCTCTCTCTCTCTCTCTCTCTCTCTCTCTCTCTCTCACTCACTCACTCTTTCTGCTCTCTCTCTCTCTCTCTCTCTCTCTCTCTCTCTCTCTCACTCACTCACTCACTCTTTCTGCTCTCTCTCTCTCTCACTCTCTCACTCACTCACTCACTCTCTCTGCTCTCTTTCTCTCTCTCTCTCACTCACTCACTCTTTCTGCTCTCTCTCTCTCTCTCTCTCTCTCTCTCTCTCTCTCTCTCTCTCTCCACTCACTCACTCACTCTTTCTGCTCTCTCTCTCTCTCACTCTCTCACTCACTCACTCACTCTCTCTGCTCTCTTTCTCTCTCTTGTTTCCAGCCACCGTACACTCAGGATATGGTTGCTCAGCTCGACCAGGTCTATGCCCTGTCAGCGGCGAAGCACAACACCGAAGTGCACTTCCGCTGGCTCAGACTGGGTATGCGCGCCGGCGTGGAGTCCTGCTTTCACGGCGCTAAGGACTTCGTCACCAAGCAAGGGCGCATGAAGTTCGTTCGACCACTTTACCGGTGAGCATCCCCCGCCTCAAGTCACTAGTACCCGGAGTAAATACTGTAGTTTCCCGAGTTTAAGGCGCACTTCAAACCCCGGCAATTCACCCCCATGAAGTCGATGCGGCTTATACTCTGATGGTCATGAAAAACGTGGTAAATCGGGTAGAGGTGTGTGTGTATTTCGTGACAAACAAATCTGGATGCGGCTTATACTCCGGGGCCGTTTACACTCCGGAAAATATGGTAAGCCCCCCCCCCCCCCCCCTAACAATTTCGACCTAGGTTCAGCATGCACATTATGAGCATGAAATGCACCAACCATCCTATGGCCTATACGTACATTGTATGTGGCCGTTCACCCCCCCCCCCCTTCTGTAAAAGGGGGACCAGCTACGCCCCTGGTTGACATCCAGTACAAAAATCGTACATGAGTAGCACAGTGTACCGTGACATTTCCATCTTTTCTGACCCTGCTCTTCTTGCGTGCTTGTCCCCTCTGCGCACTGTTCTATCCCCACCGCCGCACCACAGTGATATGTTCGGCAATTCAAGCTGGTTGACAGAGGGGCACGCTCACTTTCAGACACACGCCATGTTCTACCACCCGATCGCACGCACCATGATCGGCAAGGATCACCAGTCCGCTGTGGCCAAGGTCTCCGCCACCACGTGATGATGTCATTGATGTCGGGTGATGATGTCATTGCCATCACATGAAGTCATTGCCGTTGGGTGATGATGCCTTTGGCAACCTGATGATGTCATTCACAACCTGATGGCCTCGTCTTCGTAGGTGGTTGCCTGCCCGTGCATGATCTGAGATCTCCAGTGCTGCGCGAGTGGCAGCGCTGTGACAACTATCCGGAGCTGGGGTTTTTTTCATTCTTGTTCAGACGGGTCCATGCATGAATGGCATCACTGGCCAACACTCAGTTGCACTGCTTTCTGAGAAGAAAGGCCTCTCACGATACGCTCAATGTTTCGATAAACGCCTCCAGTACACAATATACCTCTACGCATGCTTTTCAATATTCAATGTTTTCACACATCCCCCCCCCCCCCCCTCCATTCTCCCTGGATCTACGCCAGCGCATGATCTTAGAGAGGAGATGCATGACTGTATTGGTATTTGGATATAAACCAGCCAATTTGGCTTTTAGAATCAGCCGGAGAAAGTCTCTTTTTTCTTTTTTCTTTTTTTTTACAAAACTTCCATACTCAAACACCTTGTGATAACTATGATGAATAGAGGAGTGTCATGGTGGTAATGGGGCTGAGCACACTTAGGGCATGTTCGAACGGTAAGGATCTGGATCCAGGGGGCGGATCAACCGTACTTTACGGTAGTACGGTACAGAACTCAGCATGAGCGGACTTTTCAAATGTGATCTTTAGCTTTGTATCAACGTACACACACACACATACACACACATACACACACACACACATACACACATACACACACACACACACATACACACATACACACACGCACGCAAAACAACACATACACGCACACACTAGCCCTTTCCCAAAGATGCCATAATTTTTCGCAACCGTGCCAAAACAAGTGCTAGTTGCTGAAATCGCATCATATTTTCAGAAAAAGCTCAAAAGTTGCTAATATCGCAACTAAACTCAAAACTGGAGAGTTCTTGTGCAAAAACCACCAAAAAAAGGAGCAGAAATGCGCATTAGTACCTCGTAGAAATGCAGCGACAGCAAACTCGTACACCCCTTCCTGCTCTGAACCACCACTTTACACAGTGCCAGTAGCCTGTTGCATGTATCCAACATCATTCCAGTGAGCGGAAAAGGGAATGCACATTATCGTAACTACCGTTGATCTACTGTTTCTCTGAAATGAGTCTGAAGGCAGGCGAGAAATGAGCGAGTATGCATTTGTCCGACATGCAGTCCGTGACTTGACCTTTTCACCCCATACCATAGCTAGGGCCATGGTTCCGGAAAAGTTGCGAAATAGTTGGCGAAAAAGAAGAAAGTTGCGATTTCTTCCTAAACAACGAAAAGTTGCGAAAAAAAAAGTGGCGAGCATCTTTGGGAAAGGGCTAGCACCCGCGCACAACCATCTTTCAAGCTTCGCTTTGTGCTACACATAAACGAATTGAACAGGTCTTTTGTATATTGGAGTTAGGCTAGATTCTAATGCTGTTGGCTTCATTAGTGACTTCAAAAATGTTTTATTAAAATGTGCTCGGGGGTGGGGGCGGGGGGGGGGGGGGGGGGGGGGATCGATGCAATGGCCAGTACGCGTGAACAGTGCTGGCCAGAGAAAAATCCAACCTCATGAATAAAGTAGCCCCGCGTTCGAGTGCACAGACCAGTGTTTGTAGTGCTGGGGCTTGGTTAAGTTGGTAGCCCGCTCGGCACTATTTTATTCATGAGGTTGGATTTCTTTGGCCAGTTCCAGTAGTACATCCCCAGTGTAACCATAGTAACAGGATAGCAGGCAGAAGCACCCACATCTAGAAAGATTATTGTACAGTGTCAAAGCACTGCTATTGCTCAGTGCTGCGCCAAGAACAAAATCCTTGTGCCACGACGTTCATAAAAATATTGTAGGGAGTTTTCTGGACCGGGAGAATATGGGGGGGGGGGTAGTATGCACTACCTAGCTGGGGGTCTTGCCGGGCAGGGGCGCGGGCGGGGTAGTGGGTGTGAGCAGGGTAGGGATGAACTAATAAATTAAAATACTCTTTTCTCGGAATCTGTGATACCGGGAGAATATGGGGGGGGGGGGGGGGGTAGTATGCACTACCTAGCTGGGAGGGGGGGGGGGGGGGGGTCTTGCCGGACAGGGGGTGCGGGCGGGGTAGGGATGGACTGATAAATTAATTTATTAATGCGATTAATAGTATAAGTGAAGCGGACATTACAAAATGATGAATGAGAATAAATCGAATCGAGAATTAATCGCATTAATAAAGTTATTGTCTCCTCGTCGCCTTTTGATAAATTAATTAAATACTCTTTTCTCGGAATCTGATTACTGTAAAAAGACAGGACCGAAAACGTTTACAAGTGAGTTCCACCTTTGCTGACGCGTTCCCCGTCTTCTGCCATCACTCCATCACACTAGACATTGTGGCTACTACATGTGTATAGCCTATTGCCATACTTAGCTGCTTGCATCCACCACTACAGCCTGTTGCCATACTTAGCTGCTTGCATCCACCAGTACAATATGTTGCTGTGATTTATCATCTGGCAGTGGTTTTGTTTTCAGCGGCGTGGAGCAGTCTACATCGCAGCGTTCCTACTAGGGAGCAGTAAAATACTAGACAACTCCGTGGTTCTTACTGACGACGACAGCCAATCTGGTACTGAAAAGCTACCACGTCACGTCCAGTTGCCAACGACGATGGTTGCCATGTTTATTCTGGTCAGTGATTACCGGTGTGATTGTAGTTACACTGGCGGATCTGTCTGCCCTCGTCCGTTATGAGATTGTAGTAGTTGACGGTGGGCAGCTGGCGTAGACACGGCTCTCCGTCGTCGCCGTACACGCGCGTCAGACCGTGCGTGAACAGCCGCTTCCACGTCCGCTCGCTGACGCGGCTGCGAGCGATGCAGGACAGGTAGAAGGCGATGGCCGTCTCCTTAAATCCCTTGCCGGACAGGGGGTGCGGGCGGGGTAGGGATGGACTGATAAATTAATTAAATACTCTTTTCTCGGAATCTGATTACTGTAAAAAGACAGGACCGAAAACGTTTACAAGTGAGTTACACCTTTGCTGACGCGTTCCCCATCTCCTGCCATCACTCCATCACACTAGACAATGTGGCTACTACATGTGTACAGCCTATTGCCATACTTAGCTGCTTGCATCCACCACTACAGCCTGTTGCCATACTTAGCTGCTTGCATCCACCAGTACAATATGTTGCTGTGATTTATCATCTGGCAGTGGTTTTGTTTTCAGCGGCGTGGAGCAGTCTACATCGCAGCGTTCCTACTAGGGAGCAGTAAAATACTAGACAACTCCGTGGTTCTTACTGACGACGACAGCCAATCTGGTACTGAAAAGCTACCACGTCACGTCCAGTTGCCAACGACGATGGTTGCCATGTTTATTCTGGTCAGTGATTACCAGTGTGATTGTAGTTACACTGGCGGATCTGTCTGCCCTCGTCCGTTATGAGATTGTAGTAGTTGACGGTGGGCAGCTGGCGTAGACACGGCTCTCCGTCGTCGCCGTACACGCGCGTCAGACCGTGCGTGAACAGCCGCTTCCACGTCCGCTCGCTGACGCGGCTGCGAGCGATGCAGGACAGGTAGAAGGCGATTGCCGTCTCCTTAAATCCCTTGCCCTGCGGGTAGTTACCCCAGTGTTCGTTGGCCCGCGGGTCGTGGATGACGGCACGATAGGTGTTGCAGTACGGCGCGAACATGGCCGAGCTGCGGTAGGACGACGTCTCCGAGGCCATCCACCAGTTATAGGTGTCGAAGCCGGTCGTGTACGGCAGCAGCTGATCCACCACGCTGCGGTGGAATATGTCCAGGGCGGCGTCAAAGGCACAGTTCTGCACGCACTTCATCGAAACCATCGGCAGGTCTTCCACACGGTACGGAAACTCCACGCCGGCACGTGCCGGCCGATCCCTCAGCACGAGTTGCCGCAGCCTCCTCTCCGCCGCAAGGTGACTGGATCTGGGACTCACACTACTAATGTTATGGCGCAGTAGAAGACGCACATCGTCGTCCCAGAATACTACGTAGTCGAAGAGCCAGCCTTGCAAACGCTCCCTGTCCTGCATTGCGAACAGCAGTTGATTTCGGCCGCTGGCCCAGGTCGACTTGGGGAAATACATCGTCTGAAAGTATTTTGTGTCGTTCGCGGCACTGAGCTCGGCTTCCCAGGCCAAGTACCACACGTAGACCTTTCCTTTGGGCTGCCGGCTGATTTGGTACCACACGTCGTTGATAACGCCGCGTCCCATAACTAGATACGCGAATGTTCCACGCAGGACTGTACTGGTATTGTATATCTCCTCTCCGAAAGTATCCAGCGTCTGCACCAGGTCCAGCTTCGGTGCTCGTGTCGGTGGGAGCGCGGGGCGGCTCGTGAACCGAAAGCCGCACAGCAAGCCAACTGTGGCCAAGCTGATGAGGCAAGCAAAGCCTGCTTTCGGGTACTGCATTGCCGTGCGCGCGTCTGTGCTGTCGTTGGTGACGGCTGTCGTTCAGGGCGGCGGTCTCTATCCTTGGTCAGCTTCTTGTTCTCACTGGATGGGACGCGGGACGTGATGCTAGGAAACTAGCAGGTAGCTCTGCAAATGATTGTAGACAACGACACAGACAGACAAACAGAGAGACAGACAGACAGACAGACAAACAGACATGCAGACCGACAGACATACATACAGACAGACAAAGAGAGATGGACAACAAAAGAGATCGACATTGAGAGAAATAGAGAGAGAAGGTGAGTTACATTAGAGACAGGGGAAGAGAGAGAGAGAGAGAGAGAGAGAGAGAGAGAGAGAGAGACAGAGAGAGAGACAGAGAGAGACAGACAGACAGACATATAGACATACAGACAGACAAACACACAAACAAAGAAACAGACAGACAGACAGAGGGAGACATGCAGGCAACATTAGAATCTATGATTGTTCACATCCCTCAACCCACGTTTACAAATACAGTCGACCTACCCTTATAACGATATTTGTGTCAGACCAAGAAATATTGTTATAAGGGTAATATTGTTATAGGGGTAACTGGTTCATTCATACACATACGTCATAATGCATGAATTTAGTTCATTTTTTACACTCTTCATAGCGTCAAAAACCTATGTACATGCACTTTATTTACGCAGCAAGGTGCCCACTGGTGCCCCCATTGCATTTCGTCATGTCCCAGCGACTTATCAAGTGAAGCTTGCCCTACCTTGACAGTGGACTCTACATATTCCCTGCTGGATATTGTTATAAAATGGAAAATGTCGATTGGTCAGCCCATTTTATATTGTTATAGGGGTAATATCGTTATAGGAATATTGTTATAGAGGTAAGGCATTGTATACAAAAGTCAATGGAGTGATTTGGTTTGGCAGAAAAATATTGTTATAAGGGTAATATCAATATAGAGGTTATCGTTATAAGGGTAGGTCGACTGTACATGCTTTGAAATAATCTCTGTCTGAAGATTGCCATCTGGCATGAAAGTATTAGTTACAAGAAACCAGACCCGTGGTACTCTGTGACTCGTGTGCTTCGAAGTAACATGTATTGCAAGCTACATGTACATATACACCAAACCACATCTGTCCTGCGTTCTGGAGCACCTCGACCATCGAACTCGCCTCCTAACGGGCTGTATCCATCCAGTGGGGTCATATGCCCCCACGTTGAATGCTCACGGATTCAAGCTCACCGAGGCTGAGTTCCGTGAAGCTGTGCACTTCCGCTGTGCCAAACTCCTAGCAACGAACGTCACGTTACTGTGGACGCCAGTTCATCCGTACTGTTCACCGTCAGTCACCGGTCACGGTATGTGCTTGCCTAACCCTTGTTTCCTAACCCTTATTGTTTCCTGACCCTCCGCCACTGTGTGCTGCGCGACATCACAGCTCGCATTTCCAAGCGTGTTGACCTCAAGGTTGCTATTGAGCCGAATCTGCAGCCACTCCCAGGGAAGCAGCTCTGCGGTTCGAGAGCACCTAGAATGAAGTCCGGATTTTCAACACTCCTTGCGTCCTCAAATCGCCCCAACTCACATGCCGCTAGCTACACGCGTAACATGTTTGATGACGTATGCAATCACACATGGTGCACGCATCCACACAAACACACACACACACACACACACACATGCACACACACACACACACACACACACACACATACACCCCCCCCCCCACACACACACACACAAATACACACACACACACACACTCAGACATGCCCGTCGCACAACGGATGATAGCGAACAGCTACTACATGTAGTTCGTTATACATAGCAACTAATGTTACTTGTGCTGGGAGTGGGAGTCCCTACATCCCCTATGTTTTGTCCTTTTCCTCGTTTCTTTTTGTTCTCCACCTGTTTTCCAGCAGGGCTGTGTCAATAGTAAAAAAAAAAAATACACCATTCAACACACCCCCCCCCCCCCCCCCACACACACACACACGCGCACACACACACACACACACACACACACACACACACACACACACACACACACACACACACACACACACACACACACACACACACACGCCAACATGATGGATATCCAAAGCAACTTATCTTGCCTCTACAACCTTCCCAAAGTCTTGGCCATCCCGTTTCGAAATCGACTGGGATACTGTAGAATGAATGCATCGACTTCCCAACACCCCATTTACAGGTTGTACTGCGGATTGACAGAATAACTCACAAACTGAAGCAGACTAGCATCTCTTAATTCTATGCACCAGATGGCTCAGGCCTAACATAATGGAATCTCCATATCCATACCGCACACACGCGTGCACGCGTACACGCACGCACTGCCAACCATAGGCATTGCCACGGTCGGTCACTTACCCATTTTTTTTTTTTTTTTTTTTTAATTTCGGCCAGTCGGCTACTATCATTTTTGTCTTGGGGGCTAGACAAGGGGAAGTAGCCATGTCAGGGCGTGAGCCCGCCTTTCGGCACCGGGAGTTGCAGCTCGCTCGACTTGCCTCTACTGAGTGCAGAGGACCCACACCTTGATCTGGTGAGCTTACCCATTCAGACTGGACGCCAGACGATCTAGCGGCGGCTTTCTCCAGTCCGTTTGGAATAGACCAAACGTATACCTGTACATGCAGGTAAGGCAGACTGCCGCACATTCGCTGGTCTCGCGGCTTCTACGATATTGATACGTAAATTATTCAGAGTAGACCGTTGCACAGCTATCTCGGGAAGAATACTCCTCTGTCCTCTGTCCTCATCCACTCAAATACTCTCAAACCTGCATACTGTACTGTGCAGTTAGAGCGACTACAGGGGCGGTGAAGACACGCTTCCTTGCCTTTCAACGCTGCGCAGATTGGAGACGCAGGACCGGGCGCATCCTCCACAGGCTGCAGCCACAGCCGCAAACAAAATCTCTTTCTCCCCGCAGTGGGCCCGCACACCACGAGATCGAGAGTACATATTATTATGACGATCGTAACAGTTACAATGACCGTTTTGTGTACAGGTCAGACTCAGTACAGATGGTCAGTCGCTCAGACACAGACACAGACACCATCATGTCCATGGTACACTGTAGTCTGTACTGCATGCAGCAGACGATGCTCTACGCCTAGGCGCGCCTCTACAGTCCATTCCATACATGTAAGTGTGCACTCTTCCAGTCAAAGGGCCAGTGTGCACTCTTTTCCATCCAGTCATGTAGATTCCATGGCATGGGGCATACACAATGGCCCTTTGACTGGATGGAAAAGAGTGCACACTGGCCCTTTGACTGGAAAAGAGTGCACACTTATGTGGAATGGACTGTAGTAGATCTACTCGTGTAACCATCGTGACTGGGAGAACCACCCACTAGCTGCACTTGATCTACAACCATGTTGTTGGTGGTAGACTCCATTGATTTAGCCGTTGCATGCCGGCTTGGGGCAGTTGGGCTTTTGCTTTGGATTGATTATTGTTGAACGGTCTCTGCTGGGATGACGGCTTCATCATGTACAGTACCATACTCCATAGCTCAGTTGTTAGAGCATCGCTGGCCTCAACCTCAAGCGACAGAGGGTTCATCCTGGTTCGAGTCCTGGTGACGACAGTGAATTTAAAATTAGATTGTAATTTTTTTTATCTTCAGACTTTTCCCGTTTGCGTCTTTCCCTCGAACCAGTGGCGCACGGACGCTGGTACAAGTACATTATGCCAATAGTATGTACACGACCATAGGCTACTAGCACAGTTGAACATCGATTATCCGACCACCTCGGGGCAGACAACTGTCAGGCGGTGTTCAGATAAGGCAAATGTTCTGGATAAGAAAAAAACTGTCACTCACGCACTTTCATTCAGTGGTTATTAGTAATATTACTAGCCGCACGACCTTTTTACTTTTTACTTTTCAAAATTTTCGTATTTTTTTGAATGGCTCACTACATGCACAGTACAGTGCGTACTCTACGGCACGTGCGCCCAAAAAAAACTGTTACGGATAATCGAATGGTCGGATAGTCGATGTGCGGATAATCGATGTTCAACTGTACTACAGACAGTGCTGGCAACTGAAATCCGACCCCCTGGGCGGCGCGTTCACTTTCTAGCGGCCTCTATTTCGGGTCTTTGCGATGTGAGCGCACCGCTCAGGGGGTCGGATTTCAGTTGCCAGCACTGTAGTAGTACTACTACTAGTTTTTTTTACTGTCTGTAGACTGTAGTCCTCTGTACGAGTACAAACTACATGACAATAATTATTTTGTATTGATAATAATTATTCAGAATACTTGCCATGTGAAGTCTAGAGAAAAAGGCCATAGCCGCATACGTACATGTACTAGCAACGCAGATACAATCATGTATTGCATTGTCTCAGTTTGTCTGTCACATGCACAGTGTCAGCGTGCGTGGTCAACATTTGTGCGGATGCATGGTCGGCTAGCTATCCTGTTGGCGCAGTTCCTGGCTCCTTGAATGGCTTGAATGGGGAGTTGACTGGTCGAGCAGCGACAGAATGCTCGTGCCCTGAGCAAGGTACTAGTACCATCTAACGCAGTATTGCATTCATTCACTTTGGGCTTGACTCAATCTGCGGACAGAACTGTTTCGTCCTTTGGGCTGCGTATTATTTATAATGTTATAATTATTATTATGCTGACCTTTCATACAAACTTCCAATCAACTTGCCCTTCATGCTGGCGGTTATACTGGGCATATAAACCTCATACCTCATACAAACCCCATAATTATAGACCACCACCATACAAACTTCTTTTTAGAGGCAGGAAGAAGTTATTAGTAGTTGACTGTCAGTTTATATGAAGGTCAGCATGAGTATAATACATCCCACTAGTACGCTTGTACGTGAAATATAAACCATCATACAAACCTCGGCTTCGCCTCGGTTTGTATGTCGGTTTCCTGTTCACTCGGCTGTTCTGGCGGCTGCTGAGTGTTCATTGTAAGCGTATGACACAACTGTACTGTTGATGTACATGGAGTTGCTTACCTCTCTTTCTTTCTTATCTTTTCTTTGCCTTCTTCTCTCTCTTTGTTTACCACGGCGAGTCGGCGACCCCGCCCGTGTGCTGTACTACTACTTTCTTTTTCTTTTTTCTCTTTTACGTAATACTTTATACCGGCAGGCGTTGGTGTATCCGTATATATCCCTTGCCTTATATGTATGCTGCGTTCTCTTGCACTCTTCCCTTTCAACCATTTCACCGTACCGTACGCATGCTAGCTACCTTTATAGTATGCGTATCCATTTTCGTTGCCTGAGTCTCCTCCGCCAGGGGAATGCTGAGTTCAGGTTTTCTCTTGGACATGGCAGTTTATTTTTAGTTGAGTTGTGGAATAAAACCCAACAGGCGTGGGCCATCCCCTGTACATACACATGTAGGTGCCACCATTTTTCTTTGTTTCTTTTTCATCCTCAAGCGTTCCATCGTTCGTTTGTATGTCGGTTTATATTTCACGTACAAGCGTACTGTTGGGTTGTATTATATACTTACAAAACAACAGGGACAACCAAGGCTTGTTTGCTGCTACTTCAAGTTAGTTTCATGCTCTGGCAATAATCAGGCAACTTGAGGACGGGGTGCCGACCATGCCGATATGTACATGTATATGTACAGTGTATGCCAGGAGAGGGTGGGTCTTGTAGCGCTGTGTGAAACGCTGTGTGAGAATGTGGGGGCTGTATTATGTAGGAAGCTGTGTGAGAATGTGGGGGCTGTATTATTTAGGTTGCGGGGCTGGCGGTGTTATTGTAGGCTGGAGGATTGTGTGCATGCAGAGTGTGTTGTTGTTGGAGGCAGGGGGCCCGGGGCTGGGCAGTGACAGGGCTAGCAGTGCGATTGTTACTTGTAATACTATAGCGCTTAATGTGTGGCTAGTGTGTGCTGATGGTAGTGAGCAAGGTGTGTGGATGTTGTTGTAGGCAGGAGGCTGTAGAGGTGACAGAGCTAGCACTGTGATGTTAACGCAGTGTACCTGCATGACTGGTGTGGGCAAGGTGTTATGGGCAAGGACAGGTGTGTGGATGGTGTAGGCAGGAGGTGGTGGAGACATATTAATAAGGTGACACCGTGGTACTTGAGGAGACACATGTATTTCTTCTCGTGTCGCCACTTGGACGCCATTCTCGAGCGCTTGTAGAGCCTGGATGGTGACCGGGCTAGCGAGTTCAGTGTGTCTCGACACTACAGTCTCTACAGCCTCCTGCCTTCAACAACCACACACTCCGCACCCAGCCCCCTGCCTTCAACAACCACACACTCCGCACCCAGCCTCCTGCCTTCAACAACCACACACTCCGCACACAGCCCCCTGCCTTCAACAACCACACACTCCGCACACAGCCCCCTGCCTTCAACAACCACACACTCCGCACCCAGCCTCCTGCCTTCAACAACCACACACTCCGCACCCAGCCTCCTGCCTTCAACAACCACACACTCCGCACACAGCCCCCTGCCTTCAACAACCACACACTCCGCACACAGCCCCTGCCTTCAACAACCACACACTCCGCACACAGCCCCCTGCCTTCAACAACCACACACTCCGCACACAGCCCCTGCCTTTAACAACCACACACTCCGCACACAGCTCCCTGCCTTCAACAACCACACACTCCGCACACAGCCCCCTGCCTTCAACAACCACACACTCCGCACACAGCGTCCTGCCTTCAACAACCACACACTCCGCACACAGCCCCCTGCCTACAACAACCACACACTCCGCACACAGCCCTCTGCCTTCAACAACCACACACTCCGCACCCAGCCTCCTGCCTTCAACAACCACACACTCCGCACCCAGCCTCCTGCCTTCAACAACCACACACTCCGCACACAGCCCCCTGCCTTCAACAATCACACACTCCGCACACAGCCTCCTGCCTTCAACAACCACACACTCCGCACCCAGCCTCCTGCCTTCAACAACCACACACTCCGCACCCAGCCTCCCGCCTTCAACAACCACACACTCCGCACACAGCTCCCTGCCTTCAACAACCACACACTCCGCACCCAGCCTCCTGCCTTCAACAACCACACACTCCGCACACAGCCTCCTGCCTTCAACAACCACACTATCCACACACAGCCTCCTGCCTTCAACAACCACACACTCCGCACCCAGCCTCCTGCCTTCAACAACCACACACTCTGCACCCAGCCTCGTGCCTTCAACAACCACACACTCCGCACCCAGCCTCCTGCCTTCAACAACCACACACTCCGCACATAGCCCCTGCCTTCAACAACCACACACTCCGCACACAGCCCCCTGCCTTCAACAACCACACACTCCGTACCCAGCCTCCTGCCTTCAACAACCACACACTCTGCACCCAGCCTCGTGCCTTCAACAACCACATACTCCGCACCCAGCCTCCTGCCTTCAACAACCACACACTCCGCACATAGCCCCTGCCTTCAACAACCACACACTCCGCACATAGCCCCTGCCTTCAACAACCACACACTCCGCACACAGCCCCCTGCCTTCAACAACCACACACTCCGTACCCAGCCTCCTGCCTTCAACAACCACACACTCCGCACCCAGCCTCCTGCCTTCAACAACCACACACTTCGCACACAGCCCCCTGCCTTCAACAACCACACACTCCGAACCCAGCCTGCTGCCACCTTTTCGAGCAGAATCCGCCGGTTCCTACACCTTGGTATGGAGCTACTCGAGTCGTGTAACGTTTTGTTGTACTTATGAAGTCATGGCCACTTGCAAGTACGAAAATGCACAATTTTCCGAACTTTGAGGCTTCATATATACAAGAAAGTGAATATGTACATCTATTCCCGCGTGCCAAAGCATAATAATAATTATGCTTGAGGATTTTGCGAGCATAATGCGAGAAACCATGAAAGCGTATTTCCATGATTTCGCGAGCATAATCCGCCGGAGCCTACTTGTAAGGGTGAACACTCACC